CAGCCTGCTGCTGGGAGTTTAAAAAATCGGTTCACTTGATATTGTTTTTTTAATTATCAAGGCTTTATAATGCAGTTTCGTGTCTGGTGTAGCACATTCTTCCTCACTTTTCTTTTTCGAAAATCTGGCAATCCCTCACACATTTCCTCTTCGAGATGGAGTTTATTTAGGATTTCACTTATTCATGAGAGACCCCGAGAGGCAGAGACCCAGGCGGAGGGAGAAGCAGGTCCCTGCGGGGAGCCCGACGCGGCACTCGATCCCGGGACCCTGGGGTCACGCCCTGGGCCCAAGGCAGGCGCCCCACCGCTGAGCCTCCGGGTACCCCCCAGATGGAGTTTACACTAATTTCCTAGAGTTAGTAAGAGCCCTTGGGATTTTTTTCTTGGCATTATGTTAAATTTGTAGACCAACTTGGGTAACCTTGGCAGTTGCTTTCAGGTTTCGTATCTACTACTTTTGGATGCGCTACTTTTTTCAAACATTTACTCAGATTTTCTTAGGTCTCTCAGCAAAGTTTTAGACTTTCCTTCCTACAAATCCCTCCTAACCTGTTTTTAGTTGACTCCTCCACATGCTGCCCTTTCCTCTTGTGTGGTATGAGGGAGCGTTTAGGTTCTTTGGGCACAGACGGCACATCCGGGGACGCCCTTGGGTTCCGCAGGCCAACATCTGCCCCTACTGTCCTCGGGCCGCCGCGGAGCCGCCGTAGCGGGGGACCGGGTGCCCTTCGGTGCTTTCCGCCCAGCCTCAGGCTCCCTTCCCCGAGACTCGACAGGATGTTGGCCAAGCAGGAGGCCTTTCTTTCCCACACATTTTATAAGGACTGATAAGATCCTCGCTAATCTAAAATTTTTTTTAAAATTCCAGCATCGTCAGCATACAGTGTAAGATTTCGGGCGTACAGCACCGTGTTGGGCACAGGTGCCCTCCTTCGTCCCCATCGCCTAGTCCCCTCTCCCCTCTGGTAACCACAGGTTCGTTCTCTATAAGTAAGTGACCGAGTCTTGGTTTGCCTTTTTTTTTTTTCCTTTGCTCATTTGTTTCTTAAATTCCACACGTGAATGAGATCATACGGGTTCCTCTCTCTGATTCCAGCTGGCATTCTGTCCTCTAGCTCCGTCCGCGCTGCTGCGGATGGCAGGACCTCCTTCTCGTCCGCGGCCGAAGAGTACTGTGCTGTGTGCATATTGTACCGTATCTTCTTTATCTGCTCATCCCTCCACGGACACCTGCGCTGCTCCTGTGCTTTGCCTGTTGCAAATAATGCTGCCGAGAAACACAGGGGGGCATGCACCCCCTGGAATTAGTGTTTTTGTATTTTTGATGGAAATACCCAGGAGTGCAGTTGCTGGGCCGTGGGGTAGTCCTATCTTTAACTTTGAGGACCCTCCACACTGTTTCCCACAGTGGCTGTACCAGCTTGCGTTCCCCCCACAGTGTAACGAGGTTCCTTTTTCTCCACATCCCCGCCCCTACTGGTGTGTGTTTCTGATTTTCGCCATTCTGACAGGTGTGGGGTGGTATCTCCTTGTCGTTTTGATTTGTATTTCCCTGGTGATGAGTGATGCTGAGCACCTTTTCTAGTGTCCGTCGGCTGTATGTCTTCTTTAGAGGAATCTCTGTTCATGTCTTCTGCACAGTTTTAATTGGATTATTTGTTTTTTGGGTGTTGAGTTGTATCTGTTCTTTATATATTTTGGATACTAACCCTTCACTGGGTATGGCATTCACAGATGTCTTCTCGCATTCTGTAGGCTGACTTTTATATTTGTTGATGGTTTCCTTCACTGTCCTTGCTGATTTTTTTTGAATGAAAAAAAAATAGTATCTTTAGCGTAAAGCAAGATCTGTATTGTCATAGAAAATCGGTTACATTTTCCATTAAATTTCCTTAATGACAAAAAGATAACTTTTCTTTAAGGAAGAATTGGATTTTTACCAGATAGTTTCCATCTACCTTGTGAGACGCTTTGAGTTTCCTATTGATTTTTCAAAGGAATATTACAGTGCCGTACATACCTGTTTGATCCCGGTCTGCAGAAGAAGCTAGGATTGAATGAATAAGTGTCGCCATATGGAGAGCACTCATGTCAGACCCTGGCCGGGGGCTTCTGTACCTTGTCCCAGATAACACACTGGCCTCTGGGCACGGCGTTCCTGTCTACTGCTGGGGAGGCTGTTGCCACCTGGAGTTAAGTTACTGGCTGAAGGTCACCCAGGAAGTGAGTGGCAGAGCCGGGATCCCAAGCCTTTACTCTTACACGCTACAGTCACATTTGGTTGTGTAGTGATTCACAGATTCAGACTACTAAAGGAACTAAACATAATAATAGTAATAATAAAATTTGAGATCCTTTTCAAAACCGTACCGAAGAAAAGTTATAGTTTTTATCTAATCCAGTTACCCGCAGGTATAGGGCACCCTTGGTTCTGAGCATTGCCAGTGATAGCTCCGATCAAAGATCTGTCTCTTTATGCTCCTAGAGGCCAAAGGTATATCGTCCGTTCAGAATAATTAAAGCGCTCTTTCTGAAGAGTCAGCACGCAAGGTTTATCAAGGTTCGTGACCTAGGCACGAAGCCGTTGGATCAGCGCAAGCAGAAGAGGCCGTGGGACAGGAGGGAGCCAGGACTTGGCCCAGCCCTCCTCCGCTGGGGGGCGGCGGCGGGACCGGCCGGGAGGAGGTCTAAGGTGGGGATCCGACCGGGGTACCGAGCGGCTTCCTGCTCCGTTCACATGGCAAAACGCTGCCGGCTCCCCGGACGGGAGTTATACTAGTTCAGCGAGACACTAGACCCGGGAGAGGACCGGAGCCCGGGGCAGGGGAAGGGTAAGGAGTGAGGAGGACGCGGCCAGACGCCGGGGTGCCTGTGTCCCGGCCCAGGAACCCCGGGGGGAGCGGTACGTGGGGGGGGGGTTGTTTGCTTATCTCGTTCAGGAATTGAGTGTCCCTATGACAGGACGGACTGGGCCTGCTCCGCAGACCTCACCCCTCCCCCGTGGTTGGCCCAGGTGCCAGCCGGGGATGTCTGCAGCCAGGGGGCAGGTGGGCAGGGCGGCCAGGGGGCTGGAGCCGTGGGGGCTGCAGGAGGCCAAGGCGGGTAGACAAAGTCAGCTTCGCGCCCCGACACAAACCCAGGAAGAGCTCTGGTCTTATGTTCCTAGAACCAGGCCAAAAGGTACTGAGTGAACATGTATTCTCCTTCGCCTGAATTAGTCAAGTGGCGTATTTCTAGTTTCACAACAGAAGCGTTCTTTGGAAAACCTACATTTGGGTAGTGAGAATTCTACTTTCTGGGCTAGATTCCCTATATAACTAGAAATGACGATGCATGGAAATATGACTTTATTATGTTTTTATCAGTAGACAAACTTCCTAAAAAATTTACATACTCATATTTGTAGATAACCCCACGTCGTAAAATGACTAATAGGGCACTGTTCTGAATCATGCGGTGTTTGCAGATAACAAGTAAGCTGGAAAGTGTCTACATCTAATTTTTAGACTTTTTTCCTAACTTGACAATTTGTACACTTTGGGAGAAATAGTTTGGATAACTGTGTAAGTGACTATACTTTCTTAGTGCTTCTAGTATGGTCTGTGCCCGTGGCTCTTCTTGAACATTATGATTGAAGGTGAACGGGTACATTTTACACACGGGTTCTGCTCTTCTTTTGCCCTCCTGTAGTGGTGGCAGGGGCAGACCTCCCATGGGAGTCTGTGCTTCTGGCCCTTCCGCACGGCTTTGAGGCAAGCGGAAGACCTACCGGAGAGCAAGGTATTTTTGTGCCGTTAGATCTGCCCAGCTCGAGAGTGGATGCTCTACTCTTCAAGTCTGTCAAGGCCTAGAGGGTCCTGGGAGAGCTGGGGGAGCTCCTCCGAGAGCTGGGCCAGGAAGGAGGCTGGGAAGGACGCGGGACGCACCGCTGGCTGGATCTGCCTTGAGGGGAGCATTCTGAAGTCTCGATGTGCAGGGTGTGAGCGGACTTCCCCGGTCATTTCCGTGCCTATGACCTCCAGCTTTCTGAAGCCGTTTTCTTGTTTTGGTCCCAACTTTTGCTAATACGGTCAACAATTTGAAGTGGGGGGGGGGGCAGGCAAATTAAGCTTTAAGGTCGTCCCCTGGTTCAGCCGGAGGGTAGCCCCCCAGGCTCCGGGGCACCCTGCTCCGGTGGTCGTGTGGGCCGAGCGCGTGTGAGGAGGTGGAGTAGAGATGGCCCGTGTCCTCCAGGGGCTACGGTCTCGTTGAATAGGCGACATAAGCCACTCCGCAGACGTTTATTAAGGGGGGGAGGGGGCGCTGGGATAACTCAGCAAGGACTAAGTGGCAGGCCCAACTTTCTTTCTTTCGAGACTTTATGTCCATATAAGAAGGCAGAACCATTTTGCCTCTGTTTTGCCCAGGGCTGGCGGGGTTTGATATCTTGCTTTCCCTCATTTCACAATGTATCGGAGACTTCCTTCCTAGGAGTAAATAGAGCACATTCGGGTTCTTTTCATAGCTGCACAGTATTCCACTGAATAGATACGTAATTTATTTAGCCAACTCCCCATTGATGGTGACTTGGGTGGTTTCGGTCTTTGCTATTAGGAGGCAAGCCGTGACGGATCCCCGCACAGGTCGCTCGCGTGTGGCAGTAGTCTACACGGCCGTGCTGTAGACCTACTGGTCCATAAATGGAAAGAGGAAGTATGGGTTGAAAGGGTGTTGTCAGGTTACGCCATAACCCAGAAACCTGGAGCTAACCGGATAAATATGCCTAATAGTAGGTCTTAGTCCCGCCCAAACACCTGTATTATAGAGACTTGCGAAAACGCCGGTTTGGGCTTCTCCACGGCTTCCACCACAGTTGTCCAATTTCCAAAGATGTTCATTTGACCAGAGGTCATCGGTGGCGTTTGCCTGGGTAACTTCCTGCTCTTTTAGAACTTGTTCCTTCAGGTGCCTTCCAGCCCGCCTGAAATCCTCAGTGCCACTGTGACCTTGTTTTTGTAGGCGGGCCCATCTTCGCTTGTGCCTGGAGAAGCTGAAGGGGCTCGTGCCGCTTGGGCCCGAATCGAACCGACACACTACGTTGAGTTTATTGACAAAGGCCAAATTGCACATAAAGGTGAGTGTATCCTTGGGATTCCTTTTTAGTGTTCCCTGTCCAGTGAGGGGGGTGTCTGTTTCTTTTTTTTTTTTTTTAATTTATATATTCATGATGGGGGGGGTTGGAGAGAGAGGGGCAGAGACACAGGCAGAGGGAGTAGCAGGCTCCATGCAGGGAGCCCGACGCGGGACTCGATCCCAGGACCCCAGGATCACACCCTGAGCCAAAGGCAGGTGCTGAACCGCTGAGCCACCCAGGGGTCCCCCGGTGTGTCTGTTTCTGAGGGAAAGCATCTGTGTACCTCCGTGACCGTCCTCTCCTCTGGAGAGGCCTCCAGCCTGCCTCGCGATGAATCTCGGGTGTCCCACGCCCAGCACGTCCAGAACCCCACCGGGCCTTTCTCACCCCTGCGTAGCAGAAGTTAAATGACCCTGCAGTTGTCCGTTTGCTGGAGCCAGAACCTGGGCTCATCCTTGCTAGCTCTTCTTGCTCCGCAGCCATGCGTGCCTAATCCTCTCCAGGCCCCAGATGTTTCCCAGGCTAACTTCCATTGGCCCCACCATCGAGCACTGCAGGGAACTCCTCAGAGGCCTCCCTGTGGTCCTCCGGCCGCCTCTGAGCCTTAAGATAAGCCTCATGATCCCCAAGAATAATCTTTCAAAGCTCAAATCAACATGTCACTGCTTAGAATTCTTCAGTGGGCTGGGATAGTCTGTCACAGGCCTGCCCCAGGCCGCGTGACCTGCCGTCGCCTGCGGTACAGCAGCATCTCGTGCCCTGTCCGCCCCTTGCACTTGTCACGCTCTTACCACAGGGCCTCTGTACGTGCTGTTCCCTCGGTTTGGTATGCTTTCCCCTCCCTCCCTCACCTAGCTGACTTCTTGTCGTCCTTCAGATCTCAACACAGGTATCACTAGCTTGGGAAACCTTCCTGCCCTGCCTACGGCCTTCCTGCCACGGACGGGCCCATTATTGGATCTTTCTCTCTTAGCACTTATCGCAGCTGACCTCAGACCGTGACTTATGTGACTGGTTGTCCCCACTGTCAGAGGGAGGGGCCCAGGTCTGTTCGGTCCCCCTAGACCCCAGCACCCCCAGAGGGTCAGAAACAGCATGTAGCCAACGCTCACCGTTTAGCGTGTTTCTAGAACCCTGGAGTCGCTATTGCCCAAATGTCCCTTCACTTACGGTCAGCGGCCTGCACACGTGAGCCTTCTGGAGGGAAAAAGCCCGTGTTTAGAGCAGCGTAACCACAGCTAAACAGATTGGGAAACGTGTTTAAGCCCTTTCTTGGACGATGTGGAATCAGGACTTGAAGGGACACTTCCCGCTGTAAGAAGGTCCCTGCGGTGTGGGCTGAGCGGAGCTCGGACGCAGGTGCTCAGCAGCCGCACTTCCGCTGGGATCCAGCCCACGGGGATGGGGCACCGCGCACCCCCCGAAGCCCCGCACCCCCCGGAGCCCCGAGCCCCACACCCTGAAAGACCCTGCACCCTCGAGCCCTGCAATGTGCCGGTCCCCTGGGACAGGCTCCTGGGGGCAACTGGCGTGTGGGGCGCTGGGGAAGGGGCCAAGCTCGGGCACCAAGCACCCCCTGACTTGCAGAAACTGGAGGATTGTGACCGAAGAGCCATTCACCAAATAGACCAGCTCCAGCGGGAGCAGCGGCACCTGAAGCGGCAGCTGGAGAAGCTGGGCATCGAGAGGATACGGATGGACAGCATTGGCTCCACCGTGTCGTCGGAGCGCTCGGACTCGGACAGGGGTGAGCGCCCGCCCCAAGTGTGCGTGCGAGTGCGCGTGCCTGTGTGCAGGGGCCTGTGTGCAGGTGCGTGTGCGTCTGTGCAGGGGCGTGTGTATAGGTGCCCGTGTGCAGGTGCCCACGTGTGTGCCTGCGCTGCCAGATGCACGTCCACACGTGTGCATGCCTGTGTGCAGGTGCTGTGTGCGTGCCTTGCTGCTGGATGCACGTATGAATGTGCTCGTGCCCGTGTGCAGGTACCCATGTGCGGGTGCTGTGTGCACGTGCCCGTGTGCAGGTGCCCGCGTGCATGCCCCTGTGTCGGATGCACGTCGGTAGGTGTGCGTGCCGGTGCGTGTGTCCCAGGGCAGGGCAGCCCGAGGCCTGGGGGTGACGGGGCGCGCTGTGGGGGCATCCGGCCGGGCCACCGCCACCCATGTGTGTCGCCCCGCAGAGGAGGTGGACGTGGACGTGGACGTGGATGTGGACGTGGACGTGGACGGGGACGCGGAGGGCGCGGACTACCTGGCGGGCGAGCTGGACTGGAGCAGCAGCGGCGTGAGCGACTCGGACGAGCGGGGCAGCCTGCGGAGCGCGGGCAGCGACGAGGGCTACGCCAGCTCCAGCAGGAGGCGGCCGGCGGCCCCGCACGCGCGCGGGGGCCTCTGAGGGCGCGGGCACCGGCTGCCGCGGGTCCCCTCCGCGTGGACCGGCTCCCGGGCGCCCCGAGGTTGCCCCGAGGTTGCCCCGAGGTCACGGCGACACCCGGCGCGGGGCGGACGCGGGCCTGGGCACCCGCGCCCCGCTCGACGCCCCCCCGGCGCCCGCGGCTCCCCCAGACTCGGTTTCCCCCGAAGTGTGTTCTGCTACTTGTCTCTGGAACATTTTTTTTTCCTACCTCAGAGATAAATGAGATCTCCATTTCCCACTTAACACGAAGCGATTATGCCTTTTTTTCACCCCCAGATAAGTGACTTTTGGTCCAAGTCTAATCTATTTTCCTATTTGACTTTCAGCAATAACTGAGCTAGTGTCCTCGTCAGTGAAGGACAAGCCGCGTGTCTACCCTGTTGCAGGTGAACAGGAGGGGACGGCTCAGCGCCACTAGGGCCCCCCCCCCGTGTGGATGCACCCAGGAACTTCCCTGTGGAGGCTTCCGGGTCGATGGTTTAAAAGGCTGATCTTCCCTTTTGGTTATGATTTCTCCCTCAAGTGGTCTCCCACTTTGTAGCATTTTTATTTAAGCTAAAAAAAAAAAAAAAAAACAGAGCACATGTTATATGTACATAAGACACATTAAATCTATAAATACTATTTATTCATTTTATATAAACTAATGTAATGGAAAACAAATTCTTATGACTTTGTGCTTTTATAGATGTTCTAGAAACTTTGTATGTAGGTATCTACAAAATTGGTTCATTCCCCTCAACTATTTTTGCATTCATATTTTTGGGGCCGAGGTTTTTCAGCCTCCGGCGAATCTTTTTCATTGAATCTGAACCATTTGTAAAAAAAAAAACCTGTGACGCCGAAACAGAGCGTGTGTCACGAAGTGACGAGAACATTCCTAAAACGCACAGACGCACCGCGACCTAAGGGCTCCACGGCCGAAGCGGCGGCCGCCCACCCCGCGCTTGGGCCCGGGCCCGGGGCCCCGGCCTCGCCTGCAGCGCCTCCACCTTCCACACCACTCCGAGTTCAAACCCGCTCCACGCCGAAGCTCGTGCTAGACGTGAAGAGCGGTCTAAACCAGATCACTTTTGTTTCTCCATTTTAATGATTCTCTATTAATTTTTTTTTAATTGGACGTAGCTGATTCCTAAACGATTCCAAAGTCCTCTGTACTTCTGGTTTTGTTTTGTTTTTTTTTTTTCTTCCTGCATTTCAGCTTTGGGTGGGGGGAGGGGCAGGTGACACAAAGGATTTTTTTTTTTAATTGTTGGAATCTTTTCCAATGACCAGCTGAAGATTTGCACTGAAATACAACTTGTATGCCTTTTGCATTTTTAAAGCCTGCTTCCTGATTTAAGCAGAGTGATAGTGTTCAAAGAGCCAGCTCAGCCTGTAACGTGTTTGAAAAGATGTACCTGCACTTTGAGGTCCCTCTCGAATGCCATTCGCTGGACCTCTCAAGCGTTTTAATTGCTACATTCAAGCGCCTCCCAAGTCCAAGATGCTGGATGCCCTGATGGCATCGAAAACTCAAGACTTTGGGCAAAGCTTGTGGGCTTGCATTGGGGGAGGGAAGGGAACAGAATTTGTGTATCTGTTTGATTTAGAAATAAGGCATCTGAGAGATGCCCTTATTTTCTGTGTTTAAGTTAAACTGCATTTTTGTCTTTTGGTTGAAATACGAAATGTACTGTCCCGATATAAAACGGTAATTATTTGACCTTTGCACTGTTCGTCTGGTCCTTTTCAATTTGATTGCATATGTGAATGTGCGACTTGATAGATCTTTAATGCACGTGTGATAAACCGACACCAGGCCCAGACCTTAGTTTTCAAAGCGCGAGGTGGACCGAATCGACGCGCCAGCTAGGCCTCTCTCGGACCAAAACCGTGACCTTCAGGACCGCAGACAGCCGGCGGCAGCTGCTCCCCGTCCCCACGCGGCGCCGGCCTGTCCCCTCGTGCACTGACCCACCCGCGTGACTGCTCAGAGCTTTGGTTGTTTTGGGTTCTTTAAGCAAAATGAAAAACCTTTCTGTGAGGGTTGGCGGGGCGGGGCGGGGGGGGGGGAACAGGCAAAGCCGGAAACCCCAGCCTTTAAGACTTTGACAATTGTACGTGCCCAGAGGTGTGTGTAGACATAGGCACGTGCAGATTTTTGTGTAAAATTGATTTTACGAAACAAATCTATACTCACTGATTCCACTGCGATGCGGATGGAGAAGTCCGTAGGCCACTTCCACGCGGTGAGAACATCCATCCGTGCGCCGCTGTGACCATCGCAGCAGGGCCACTCGCCCCGCCTGACGGCTCAGAAAGGCGGGCGGAGCAGCAGGGGCCACGCGGGGGTTTTCTGCTGAGCGAGGATCCTGAGTTCAAGGAGCTGCCAGTGACCGCTGGCTCCTGTCCCCGTCCCAGCCCCGCCGCCAGCGTGTGCTGTCCTCTAACTCACTCGCTTGAGCAGGACCTCGAGTCTCCTGTTCAACCCCAGACTCTGCTCAGGGTCGCCTCAAAGCTGAGCGCTGCAGGAGGCCGTGGGGCGGCCGCTGGAGCGGGTTCGTTCTTGAAGGGAAGCGTCCTCCTTAGTCTCCTTAATACTTTTTTCCCAAAAGCCACAAAGGGTCCTTACCTGGGTTTCCCGTGGGCCTCTCTGGTCCGTCCCTGAAGTGGCCAAGAGCAAATCCTGGGGGCGTGGGGGCGTGGGGGCGGGGGAGAGGATGGTGAGGATGCCGATGCTCAAAATAACTGTGGCGGGGTCCTGGGGCCGCTGGGGGTGTGGCGGGCCCCTTCCCCCTCGCCGCTGCCCCATCCTCTAAAGAGAAAGCGTATGTGGGGGGAGCATAGAGATGCACGTCGTCTCGGTGTCTCTGCCCTACTGCCGGGCGGAACACGGCCCCATGGTGGCCTGCTCCTGACCCTGCCTCTCCTCCGTCTGGTCCCTAACTCCCCTGCCTTCCTCCGTGACCTGCCCTGTGTGTTGAACCCCAGGAAGTCAACGCTGCAGAGCCATTTCCTGCAGGTCACCCTGGCTGCTTTTTCTCTGCGTCGAACTCTTGGGTACAGGGTGCTCAGCCCGCTGGCTCCCGGGTTGTAAGCCCTTCCTGGGAGAAGACGAGCCACAGACCCCTTCACGGGGGTGCTTTTCTCAGATCTCTGGGACTGGGGGATGTTTTGTCTTCGGAGATCCCTGGGGATGGGGGGGGTGCGTGTGTGCACGCGATACGTGATTTACCGTGATTTCTTCACTAATGTCTATCCCGTGGATGACTTTCTGGGATTCTCCTGAAGGAGTAACTGCCCGGCGCTGCTAGGGTCGGCACTGGGGGCTGAAGCGATGGAGCATCGTTGTCTTCGCTCAGAATCCTCCAGTGAGGGGAGCCCTGGGTGGCGCAGTGGTTTGGCGCCTGCCTTTGGCCCAGGGCGCGATCCTGGAGACCCGGGATCGAATCCCACGTCGGGCTCCTGGTGCATGGAGCCTGCTTCTCCCTCCGCCTGTGTCTCTGCCTCTCTCTCTCTCTGTGACTATCATAAGTAAAAAAAAAAAAAAAGAACAGTGTCTAAGATCTGTTATTAAGGGCAGCCCGGGTGGCTCAGTGGTTTAGCACCTGCCTTTGGCCCAGGGCGCGATCCTGGAGACCCGGGATCGAATCCCACATCAGGCTCCCGGTGCATGGAGCCCGCTTCTCCCTCTGCCTGTGTCTCTGCCTCTCTCTCTCTCTCTTTCTGTGTGACTATCATAAATAAATAAAAATTTAAAAAAAAAAAAAAGAATCCTCCAGTGAGGATTGGGGAGGCACCCAATGCTGGGCCTCATCTGGGTTCTCACCGGTGCCCCGTACTCCGTGGGCCGGAGGGGGCCTGGGCACGCTTCCCTTTAGCTTTTGCCTGAGAACCAAAGTCGCCTTCCCCCTTGTGGCTAGAAGTGCTGCTGGGGGGGGGGGGGGCAGGGGCTGGGGCCCTGCCACGGGCGCACAGGCCGGGGAGCGCGGCTTCTCGTTCTGCCTCCTCATGTAAATACGAGGCGGGCGTGAGTGTGTGTCGGGGTCTGGAGGATGCGCTTCGTACGACACGTAGCACGGGCGTTTTTAGAACCACTCCGTGCCGGAGGGACTCTCGGCTGTGGACGTGAGAACCTCTGTGTTGTCCCCCGTTAACAAATAAGTCACTTCGTTATTAAAGAAATTTTGGTCTTCCTGATGTTTTGCACCGTTTTCGTGGTTTTTACTCACAAAGCTGAGCGGTAATTAGCCAGACGTTTTAATTCCATGAAGAACTCCCCGGCCGGGGCTGTGGGCTCCCGGCTCTGCGCCGAGCTCAGCTGGAGCTCGCGTGTCCACCAGAAGCGCCGCCTGCACCTGCACCCCGCGCCCCGGCCCCCAGCCCACGCTCCACTGCGAAGGACAGGGGCGCGGTCGCAATTTAACGCCACGCAGTCGGTTGTGGGGTTGAGTGGGGCCGGCCCACGAGAGGAGGAGGCCCCGGCACGAGGGGACGCCTGCGGGGAGACAACGGGGCAGCCCCACGGGCGGGGAGCGGCCTGCAGCCCGGGGACACGCGGGGAGGACAACAGACTGCAGGACGCGTGCCATCGAGAGGACAGGAGTCCCCTCTGAGCCAGGCCCTGCGGAGAGCCGGGGGCGGCGCGGACACAGCTCAGCGCCCTGACCTCTGACGCCACTGCCTCGGGTCACCGCCGGCTCTGGCCCCACGGCCCGCCCAGCAGGCCTCTGGGAGGAGCCTCCTAAACCACCCCCGTCCTGAGGGGCTGTCATGGGGCCCTGGAGGGCACCCGCAGGGCCCTGGAGGGCATCTGTGGGGCCCTAAGGGTCATTCGTGGGGCCCTAGAAGTCATCCGTGGGGCTCTGGAGGTCACCCGCGAGGCCCTGGAGGTCATCTGTAAGGCCCTGGCGGTGTCTGTAAGGCCCTGGAGATCATCTGTGGGGCCCGGGAGGTCACCCGTGGGACTCCAGGGGTCATCTGTAAGGCCCTGGAGCTCATCCATCTGTGGGGCTCTGGAGGTCATCCATGGGTCCCTGGAAGTCATCCAGAGGGCCCTGGAGGTCATCCGTGACGACGTGCAGCCAGCAGGGCTCATGCAAGGGGACCTTCCTGGTGCTTCTCTGTGGGAAGAGTAGCCCCCCCCACTTTCTCCCCGAAGCAGGGTCCTTGCAGCCCCGACATGTGTGATTGCCGACCCCGCCTCTGGAACGGGAGGGCAGGCCCCAGGCACAGGCAGCAGGCAGGGCCCCGAGTCGGGCCTGACGGGAGCCTGGGGCAGGACGCCTGCGACTCCTCCTGACGGTGCTTCAGCCCAGGTGACACGGTCACAGGCGGGTGGCCGTGAGCCCACAGTCCCCGGCGCCAGCCTGTGCCCCGCATGTGCCCCGTGGGGCCTCGGGTCAGGCTGTGGGGCAGAAGCCCAGACACACGAGAACGCCGAGGTGGCCGGCGCCGTCCTGCTCCCTGCCTGGTGGGACGCGGCCTGGGACGACAGCCCAGCCGGGGGCAGCGTGGCCGCGGGGAGGACGCCCCGTCTGCACCGCGTCCTCTGGGCTGTTCACGGGCACGCTCCCTTCTCCCCCGGCCCCGCCGGCCCGCCTGCGCGTCACCAGGACCCAGACGGGGGGCACCCTGTGGCCACCTGGCAGGCAGGCGGCACCCCAGGCAGTGCCCCACAGGCAGGGACCGTGGGGACCCAGTGACCTGAGGGAAGGGGACACACTGGGCCGCCACGAGGGCGGGTGGCAGCCCCGGCAGGCCGCGCAGGGGCCCGCGAGGGAACCCGGGGGGGCGGGCGAGGCCGCGGAGGCCCTTGCAAGGCGGCGCTGGGACGGCTCCGAGGGCTCGTCTGGAGCCACAGCTGCAGGGCCGAGGACGCGTGTCCAGCGCTCACCCCGCGGCGAGCACGGCCGCCGTGACAACCGCCTGCCACCCCGCGGCTAAGGACTTCGGCTGTGCAGCTGCGGGACAGCAGGGCCCGCACGGGGTGACACAGCCCAGGCCCCGACGGGGAGGACTCGCTGACGCGCCGCGTCCTCACCACGTTCAGGGCTGTCGGTGGCAGCGAAGCCACACGTCACTCGGAACAGGATCCTGTTGCTGTCCCCGAAGCGGGGGGGTGTTTCCTCGGGAGAAAGTGAGTCGCTTAATGGGTCACCTTTCCCTTATTGCTTAGGCTGCCAGGAGGCTCCGACCCAGCTCACCCCTCACCTCCAGCAGTCACCCGAGACCCCGTGATCTGTACATGCGTATTTACGACGCCCCCTAGTCTCCCCCCCAACCTTGATATTTTTAAAAAATGTCTTGTATGTCAATATATGTAATTTTAGAAGCCATTTCAGATGCAGTTTTGTAGAGAACAGGGCACAGCTGTCCAAGAGCACTGCCTGCGAATGATAAAAAATTCAGAAATAAATAATAATAATAAAACCACTCCGGCTCTTTGTTCAGCACGCACAGGGCCGTGAGGGTGGCTCGGCAAGGGTGAGGTCATGGGGTCGAGAGCTTGGACACGGGAGGTGAGCGTGGGCTTTCGTTGAGGGGAAATAAACTCGCCATCGAAGAGCGGGAGCTGCCTGGGGGCTGAGAGAGGCCCCAGGTCGGGGGATCCGGGCTCCGTCGCGGTGTCCGCAGCGGCCGGGCTGTGGCCTGGGTCGGAGCCGCCTGCCGGACACAGGAGCGGCCCCGGCCTGTCTCCCCAACTCGAGGTCCGCCGGGCGC